TCAAATTATCGAGATATTCAAATTAACAAATTTCAACCTATCAAGAGTCGACTGTATATAGAATTCCAATATATCAGTAAAACATGGGCAGTAACCATACAATAGGTATCACACATCTCCTTCTCTCTCTCTATCTACCAGAATGGCTGTAGTGTGGTGGTGCTGGGATTCAGTCAGGAAGTATCTCTGGGTGCTTTTTCTCGCTTTAAAATTATTCGCACTTTTAACTATGAAAATTCTAAACTATTTTAGACGCGTATGATTCTTCTTGATATTAAACAACTCCACTTCTTCCATCCATATTTCCAAAAAAAAAATTTTTTCTTCCAAATCCATATTCTTATTTTTTTTATAGGATCATTCAAATAATAATCTGTATATATTTATCATGTGTATATAATCTTTCTCCATTTTTACCCCTTTGTATATTTCCCACTTTCATAGGTTTCTCCGTCTTGTAGCCCCAAGGAGAATCCTCTGTAAGACCTGTGTGTCTTAATAAAGGTTTTTGTGTATGTGTGTGTGATATTAAACAATTTCTACTGTCCTTACTGCAATAGAAAAATTAAGGAAGATCGAAAAATGCAATATAACAGCGGTATGGTAGATTAAACTGGCGAAATCGCTGGGAGGGTTTACCACTTATGAGCCAAGCCTTCCCATTAATTTTTCCATTGCAGTAAGGACAGTAGAAATTGTTTAATTTCAAAAAGAATCTTACGCGTCTAAAATATTTTTGAATTTTAATAACAGATGGTGCGCTAATGCATCATAATATAAATGTTCTAATAAAAGACTTTTTACTATTTTCACTTATATTTTTTTAATCAACCTGCAACCCCAAGACATATTATTGACTGTATTGACTCATCCATTAATGAGCTCTACTCATCCCCAACAGACACCACCAAAAGTCTCAAGCTTTACACCCTAATATGATTGAGTTGAGATAAGAAAGAAGATTTTTTTTTTTAATGTTAATTTTTTTTTTATTTACACTGGTTTACAAAAAAGTTTTTTTTTTTGCCCAAGAAAACCTGATGGTACTTCTAGTGTAACTTTTCATGCTGAACTCAAAAATTTAATCAGAAATTTTCCATCACCCATGGTTTTTACGTGACAGCCTTTTTTTAGTATTAGGATAAATACAGTAAAAAATGCAAACAATGTTACCTAAGCAATTTGCATAAACCTTATTACATTACACTGGTTTATCAGAAAATATTTTTCTTTGTCCCAAAAGAAACAGCATATAAATGTAACTGTGCTCTGATTCCAAATATAACATTAGTTTTTTCTATTTTCTAAGATTTCTGAGAGACACCTACTTGAAATTTGAAAACAATTTTAATATATAGGCCTATATGAACGAAATATATTAATTTTATTGAAAAGTAGTGACTGTGGATTTTCTTCTATACTTTTCTTGTGGTACATCCCTCTTGAGTGTCCAGCAGTAGTCAGCAAGCATACAGGGACTCCATTTACTTCTCCATGCTTGATATATCTTGATGAAACCTTTCACCATGCTCATTGTTAATGGTATGATATTTTTTCTCAATTGGTGTTTTGTCTGATGATGATAACAAATGTTTATTTATTTTATATTTTCTCTTCTGTTTGGGAGAACCATCGTTTCAGTTTTAATTGTGTTTTTAGTCGGTTATTGAGTTGTATATAATGAATTGTGTGTGGGTTGCTGGGGTGATCCATTTTGGATTTTCTCTTCTGTTTTGGAGCGCTATCGTTTAGGTTTCAATTATGTTTTTTTTTTTTAGTCCGTTTATTAAATTGTATAAAATGAATTGTATATAATCTGCTAAATGTATTTAGGCGCAAGTATCCCGAGCTGGGATATCGCGTCCGATATGTCAAATAAATAAATAACAAATGTAAAGGTGTATATCCCACCAGACATGCACGGCACTGAGTTTGTGAGACAATTCATTATATGAATCTGACGGTCAAAATATTTATTTCCAATTTAAATAACTTTTTTTTTAGGAAAATACCTTCTTCTAGAATTAGCTAATCTAAAATATGATGAAATTACAATATAACCTCGTTAATTCGACACACGCAAATTCGACACTCTACCTTAATTCGACCATATTCTGATGTCCCGACCTCCTGCCTATCAAATAACAAACCTTAATTCGACAGTATCGATAATACGACACTTTCGAAAGTTTGACCATTTTAAAATTTGAATTTCGACAGTTGAATTTTTTTTTTTGCATACAACTTGACCTCTAAAAAGGTATTACAGTGGTGGTGCCGATAGGATCGCGCCTGCGCACTTTTGGTTTCTGTTAGTTTAACCCTTAAGTACTCGCGCGGGGTCTGATAGACCCCAGACAGACTTATTTCAATAAATATCTAGAATTCTATAAAACATTTGGAGATCAAAACTTCAGTAGCTTAATTTTATATGACAATGAATATGCAAATAAACCTATATTAGCTTAATTTTGTTGAGCTATAATATACAATACAATGGAGTTGGGGTCCATTGGACCCCGCGTGAGTAATAACGTAACTTTAATTTTCAAGCATGGGGAAATAGGTAAGCTACCTCATAGCTCTGCAATAATTTATATCCTTTATCCATGACTTAGATTTTTAGGAACATTGAATAAAAATAAAATGAAAATTTCCCCCAATTTTTTGCTACAAAACTACGTTCAACCCGCTTTTTCATTTTTGGAGTCAAGGAAAGAGAGAGTAGACTGGTTTCGTATGTACCACAAAAAAAGTCTAAAGCAGTTATTTTAATTTCAATAATCGACTCCACAAAACAAATATTCTGAATCTGGTGGAAAATATTGTAATGAAACAAAATCAAGTGTTGATGTAGTTGACCAATTGTGTAAAATTCCACAGTAAGTAGGAGGACAAGGAAGTGGCCATTGTGTCTTCTTTTTATTTCATCAATGTTTCAACAAAAGTTGTATATAAAAGGAACAAAAATTGGAAATATTTAAAAGAAGATTGTTTATTGAAGAGATTGCATTTGGGCTAATTGACCCGAACCTAACAAAACTGGAAAATAAATTGTTTCTGCCAAAAGATATAAAAAAATATATATATCTGCACATACTTCTACAGATGAGCCACAACAAGCAAAGTCATGAAATGCTATAATTAATTGAGAGATATTAAGTTCTTGTTTCTTTAGGAAGAAAATAAGCCAGAGTCATTTTCAGTGAAACAGAGGGATTGCCGATTTTGTGATCGATACAAAGACAGAAAATCCAAAATTATATGTGCTAAACACATTTATACTGAACACTCAACAACACTTTGCAGTAAGTGTACACAATAATAATTTATATTTTCATTTATAATTTTAAGGAAATTGTTTGTATATATTGATAGTTTAGAATTTTTGCCGTATTACCAATTTTATCAGATAAAAATAATTAATAGTGTAATTTTTTAAATAATAAATTGATATATTTGTAAACTAGAGACTGTATTCTTTTGGCTGCAAGCAAAATTTATTTCTATATTTTATTTTTTAAGGATTTTATTCATTGTAGAATATTGGGGTCTGCGAGACCCCGCACGAGTACTAACGTCAGTAAAATAGGCGCGAGTAACTAAGGGTTAATTCGACCATATTCTGATGTCCCGACCTCCGGCCTATCAAATAACAAACCGTAATCCGACAGTATTGATAATACGACAGTTCCGATAGTTCGACCATTTTAAAATTCGATTTTCGGCAGATGAATGTGTTTTACATACAACTTTACCGCCAAACAAGTATTACGGCGGCGAGCGCCGATAGGATCGCGTCTGTGCACTTTTGGTTTCTGTTAGTTTGAGTTTCACTTTGCAGTGCCATTGCGCCTGTCGCGAGTGTTATTTATTTTTTACGCGGGAATTTTGGAATCGTGCACTAATTAATAATATTATTTTATTTTTAATTTTCAGCACTGAAATATTTGTTATTTTAAAATTTACAAATAATTTCCTTTTAAATAAATAAATCTTCATAAAATGTAGCCACAATGATTATGATAACATTTTATTTCAATATTTCATTTCTGTGTTATTATAAAAGATTTAAACACAAAATCAATAACACCTGCAGCAGCAGTGGAGGCCTTTAATACAATAAAAGCTCTTTGTTATTTAAAACACATTCCAGAGGAAGAAAGACATGCATGTTTTTTTTTTTTTTTTTTTTTAAATAGACCATCTGGAATATATCCTGAATAGGATTTCAGTGCAAAAACAGACATCTATAAAGGAATTTTTAAAAAGATCTTCATGATTCTTTTTAAATATTATTTTTAAATTTTCTTTTTATTTTCCATATTTGTTTCCTTTCAACTGCTATATTCTTCAATTAGAATAAATTTTATTTGTAATTATTTATGTTTCAAAAATATGTATTATTACCATTTTGTCCCTGATACTAAAGTTAATCATGAAAATAAAAATAAATGCAAAAAAGGACACACACAATGGTTTCAATTAATATCATTAATTAATTTTTTTTTTTTTTAATATTATTTTAGCTAGTTAGATCTTTAATTCAACCGAAAGTTCTGATCCCTTGGGGTGTTGAATTAAAGAGGTTCGACTGTACTTTGACCAGCAGAACCGGCAATTACATGGTGGGAAACATGGTTAAAATCAGATAATACATTTTGTCTTGAAGTTTTTTAAATTTCTTCATTTTAAAACCAGTGTATGATTATGCTGTAGAGATAAGAAAGTATTTGATTAATGAGGAACAAGTAATAGTTTTTTTTTTGCTTATCCCTAGTACACGTGGTACAGGCCATGATAATCATGGTGGGTAGTTAGCGACTGCTTTTTGCTGTAAGCGCACCACATATCTACACATGTGAAAAGCAGTTCGACTTTGCACTTACAAATGTACCAAAGCCCCGTTTGGTTACTTGCAATCGCTGGTGGGGTTGGACTTTTGCAAGAATCAGAGGCCATTGAAGCTTTCTTTTTTTATCAGAAAAAAAAAAAAAAAGTGCCCAATGCGGGAATCGAACCCAGGTCGTAGCGGTTGTAGATGGGCGTTTCTTTGTCGGATTAGGTATTGGGTACTCAGGACTAGTCTATCGCCTTAACCACACGGCCACGACTGCTTGGGTACTCAGGACTTCCTTGGAGCAGTGGCCACCCAGACCTTTTGGTCCATAAACCGGCATGCGATAGCATACCCATTGCTGCATTCTAGGTCACCTAACCAAAAGGAATGATGCATTCTCCATGCACCGAGCGGCCATTGTTTGGCCCCTCGCGCCCACCATTATGGTCTGGCTCCATGGGGTCGACCAATCAAACCCACAGGCGTCTCTGAGAGTTCATGGCAAGGTTGCTGTCCGAGCTCTCCCGTTCGGACTTAGTTAAACCCGTCCTACGCTCCAATAGGACTCCCCCCCTTTGGCCCTCGAACCCTTTGTTCACAGTACTCCCTGAATCTGCCAACGAATCAAGGAACTCTGAGGTTGGTACAGTGGAGTGAACTCGGGAGAAGCTCTGAACCTCAGAAATAGACAGCATCAAACGACACTAACAAGATTTAGAACAGACCATCTCAAGCCATTGGAGAGAGAAAATAACAACAAAATCTACCCCATTTGCCCAAAATGTAGCTTGGCACCTACAGCTCCAGAACACATTTTGGCTTGCATTAGATGCACTAAACAGGACTTTTGGGAGAGGCTGCTGCTTATCATAAAACAGCTTGAGGAGCATGAACTCATGGAATTTGTGTAATCTTTACACAAGGGGATAAGAAACAACAACAACAGATGAGGTTTTTATCATACAAGTTAGGAAGTGTTGGACAATACTGTAGGAAGACATAACCTACCTGCCTGGCGCCTTCACACTCTTAGGTCTTTTGGGAGGCATCTGGAAGGCCAACTTCTTGGTGAGATATCATGGTGGAAACCCACTTTTATAATAGAACACAATGGATAACAAGGCTGTGTGCGTGGTTTTAAGCAATATACAGTATAACCTCGTTAATTCGACACACGCAAATTCGACACTCTACCTTAATTCAACCATATTCAGATGTCCCGACCTCCGGCCTATTAAATAACAAACCGTAATTCGACAGCATCGATAATACGACAGTTCCGATAGTTCGACCATTTTAAAATTCAAATTTCGACAGTTGAATGCTTTTTTTACATACAACTTTACAGCTAAAAAGGTATTATGGTGGCGGCAAGCGGCGACGACGGCGGGCACCGATAGGATCACGCCTGCGTACTTTTGGTTTCTGTTAGTTTAAGTTTCACTTTGCAGTGCCGTTGCGCAATGTCGCGAGTGTTGTTTATTTTTTACGCGGGAATTTAGGAATCGTGCGCTAATTAATAATATTATTTTATTTTTAATTTTCAGCATTGAAATATTTTATAACACCTGCAGCAGCTGGGGATGTCTTTAATACAATAAAAACTCTTTGTTATTTAAAACACATTCCAGAGGAAGAAAGACATGCATGTTTTTTTTTTTTTTAACCCTTAGTTACTCGCGCCTATTTTACTGACGTTGGTACTCGTGCGGGGTCTCGCAGACCCCAATATTCTACAATGAATAAAATCCCTAAAAAATAAAATATGGAAATAAATTTTGCTTGCAGCCAAAAGAATACAGTCTCTAGTTTACAAATATATCAATTTATTTAAAAAATTACACTATTAATTATTTTTATCTGATAAAATTAGTAATACGGCAAAAATTCTAAACTATCAATATATACAAACAATTTCCTTAAAATTATAAATGAAAATATAAATTATTCTTGTGCACACTTACTGCAAAGTGTTGTTGAGTGTTCAGTATAAATGTGTATAGCATATTTAGCACATATAATTTTGGATTTTCGGTCTTTGTATCGATCACAAAATCTGCAACCCCTCCGTTTCGCTGACGATGACTCTGGCTTATTTTCTTCCTAAAGAAACAAGAACTTAATATCTCTCAATTAATTATAGCATTTCATGACTTTGCTTGTTGTGGCTCATCTGTAGAAGCATGTGCAGATATAATATTTTTGATATCTTTTGGCAGAAACAATTTATTTTCCCGTTTTGTTAGGTTCGGGTCAATTATCCCAAATGCAATCTCTTCAATAAACGATCTTCTTTTAAATATTTCCAATTTTTGTTCCTTTTATATACAACTTTTGTTTAAACATTGATGAAATAAAAAGAGACACAATGGCTACCTCCTTGTCCTCCTACTTACTGTGGAATTTTACACAATTGGTCAACTACATAAACACCTGATTTTGTTTCATTACAATATTTTCCACCAGATTCAGAATCTATTTGTTTTGTGGAGTCGATCATTGAAATTAAAATAACTGCTTTGGACTTTTTTTGTGGTACATACGAAACCAGTCTACTCTCTCTTTCCTTGACTCCAAAAATAAAAGTGCGGGTTGAACGTAGCTTTGCAACAAAAAATTGGGGGAAATTTTCGTTTTATTTTTATTCAATGTTCTTAAAAAACTAAGTAAGGTCCTGGATAAAGGATATAAATTATTGCAGAGCTATGAGGTAGCTTACCTATTTCCCCATGCTTGAAAATTAAAGTTACGCAATTACTTGCGCGGGATCCAATGGACCCCAACTCCATCGTATTGTCTATTATAGGGCAACAAATTAAAGTTAATATAGGTTTGCATATTCATTGTCATATAAAATTAAGCTACTGAAGTTTTGATTTCCAAATGTTTTATAGAATTCTAGATATTTATTGAAATAAGTCTGTCTGGGGTCTATCAGACCCCGCGCGAGTACTTAAGGGTTAAATAGACCATCTGGAATACATCCTGAATAGGATTTCAGTGCATAAACAGACATCTATAAAGGAATTTTTTAAAAGATCTTCATAATTTTTAAATATTCTTTTTATTTTCCATATTTATTTCCTTTCAACTGCTATATTCTTCAATTAGAATAAATATTATTTGTAATTATTTATGTTTCAAAAATATGTAGTATTGCCATTTTGTCCCTGATACTAAAGTTAATCATGAAAATAAAAAATAATACAAAAAATGACACACACAATGGTTTTAATTAATATGATCAATTTATATTACAAAGCTATTTTTAAAAAATATTATTTTAGCGAGTTAGATGATTAGCTAATCATCTGAATAACTTTAATTCAACCGAAAGCTCTGATCCCTTGGGGTGTTGAATTAAAGAGGTTCGACTGTAATTACATATTTAGTTAAAAAGGCATATATTGGATCAAAGTATCATTTATTTTACCAATATCTCAGTTGGCTGAACGCCAACCTTTATCAAGGTATTATAACATATTTAATGTGTGTCAACAACAACAAAATTCTTTCTCCCCATTTAATATAACAAAATATTTTTAAAATTTAATTCTGTTGATGTTATGTGGAACTGAGTTTGTAGTTGACACACATTAAATATGTTATAACACCTTAATAAAGGTTGGCATTCAGCCAACTGAAATATTGGTAAAATAAATGATATTTTGTTCCAATATATGCCTTTTTAACTAAAGATTTATTTATGGATTGCTCTATTTTCAAAATAATTACATATAAAAGATTAAAAACAAAATTGTCATTTCCTGACAGCTCACATGAGTATTTTAGATGGCAGAGCGCCATCTAGTGGATCAAAAATTAACTAAACATTGATTTAGCTTGTTCCAAAAATATTTGGCCAACCCAATTTCTTTATAAATCAAGAAAAGTCAACCATTTACATATACCACTGTAGGTCCTCATATCTTTGGAACAAACTAAATCAACATATAGTTGATTTTTGTTCCACTAGATGGTGCTCTGCCATCTAAAATATTCGCTTTAGCGCAGTCAGGAAATGCCATTTTTTTTATTTTAAATACAGTTAAACCTGTCTATAGCCTCCCTCTTGGGACTCACCAAAATAGGGTGCTATAGAGAAGGAGTGCTATCGAGAGGTCATAGACATGTACGTGTGTCAGGCTGTTGGCCTTCGTCAGCTTGGGAAAACTGTACCTCTACGACCAAAGGTTTGGTCCCAGAGGCTTCCTGAGTAAACAAGAAATGGAATACAAAATGGAAAATATGAATATATAAAGGATATATAATGAAGGGAAAACTAGAAACACCACAAGGTATCAATCCCCCATTCAAATAATAAATTGTGACGTTTCAGTAAAAAGATTGTTACTGTCACACAATTTATTATCTGAGTTTGTTGTTGACACACATTAATATGTTATAACACCTTGATAAAAATTGACATTCAGCCAACTGAGATATTGGCAAAATAAATGATATTTTGATCCAATATATGCCTTTTTAATTAAAGATTTATTTATGGATGGCTCTATTTTCAAAACAATTTATTATTTGGGTTGTGTCTTGTTGCCTTACATGTTTCTAATCTATAACCCCCCCCCAAGACTGCAAGTTTTGAAGCCTCAACCAACTTCCTATGAAACTTGGTGAAAGAACCTGAAGAATCCACCAACAAGCTGGAATTCAAATGCTAAGTGTTCCAGAGAAAAATGCAAGTTGCTATCGGTGCCTCGGATCAAAGGCTACCAAAATTATCACAATGTAAAAATCATGTTGGCCAAGGGCATTCTCTTTAATTTGTGGTGGTGGTGCTTATCTCCATGGTTAAACCAATTCCTGAAGTCCACTTTTCTTCAAATTTGTGATGGTAGTTATAGGCCTGGAAAATAGGTCCTCTATTTCTTTCATTTGTTTTAAATACTTGTATAAGATTCCTTAAACTATAAAAACAAAGGTAACATCTCTCGTCAAAACTAGACACCATCTATTGACCGTCGCCTTCAAACTAGCAGCTTCGGGTCGGTGACAAAGCCACAACACCAGCTTTGGCAAACTGAGAAGTGTCTTCCTGGAGACCTTGGTTTTGGGCTAATGGCCCTCCTCAGTCCAGGGTGGACTTTATTCCATGAGATCCACAAGGGAGATAATGGAATCTTCACAATGTGCCTAAGAGGTGTTTAGCTGGCAAAGTGGCTAGGCCAAATCTATGGCTAAAATATACATGGGAAATTTTGATGGAAGGATATTGATTTATAAAAATAAAGGTCACATCTTCAGTCAAAATCAGACCCCATCTAT